CGTGGTTCTCGCGTGCCCGAACCTTCACGAGCCTCCGCGAGGGCGACCGAAGCAGGCACAACCAGCCGACCACGACCAACGCCTGTACACGGTTGTTAAATTATCTCTCCGCGCTCTCCCAGCTCCTAGTCCTCTCACTCTTTCTCTCTTTCCCTTTTGGACCGTTCCTTCGACGTCCCTGCAGCTTCCTATGCGTCGCGCGCCTCATCTCCTTTTTCTTAGCTCTTCACGCACTGGCACATACGCACTCGCGCGCTCGTGCATGAGATCTCACGGAAGCTGAAATGACTATCGCTACACTTGGTTCTCGAGCCCTGGCTAGTTCTACGATGGGACCGGTATCTCGACTTAACCAACCAGTCATCCGAGGCAGCCAGTGTCTCTCAATGCAGTCCGAATATTATGAATTATGCCTGCGATTTCTCCTAAGGATTTCTCCTAAGATTATCCGAAAACGCAACACTTCTTGAGGTCCACTCGAGTCGTTACGCTAATACAATCTATTTTCTGAAGATCTTGACACTTCCTGTGAAACCAGTATCACGTTGTATACGACAATCGGATGTTTTTGCATCTTCGTGAAGAATATTTTTCATGTTTTAGGAAATTCAAATCTTCCAGTATCAGACGACTACTTTCCAAGATACAAAAATATTTAAAAAAAAATAATTTTTTTTTAATGTCACAGAATATTTATATAAACGGGAATATATAATTTTCATAGTTAATGTCTGCTTCTGCGAAATATAAGGACAGCATTATGTTAATATAAGATACATCATTGTTAGATTTCTACATAAAGTCTTGAATTGTTTTGAAGTTTGAATTGTTTAACTTTTCAATGAAATGCTGCAGTTTGATGTCATTGGTGTCTCACAGTTTCCTAATGAAATCTTCCTTCCTGAAAGATAAATGAATCTAACTAGCATAGCTCAGTTGTATTGTGAGTTGCCGGAGGCCAGGGGTTCATCAAACTTTTTTAACGCTTCGTAAGAGAAAGAAAATTTTTCCGATCATGAACCCCTATCCTAGAAGACTAGCTAGATCAAAATATATTATTCAAACGAGACATAATTTTAAAGAATTAATTTGAAATAAATAAAAATTCAAATGCTTGATTTAAATATAAAATAATACTCGAGTCTATACTTAGAGTCGAGTGCAAAAGCACAAAAAAAAAGATTAGAATTGAAGTAGTATATCAACTATATTTTTAGAAGCAAGATTCTGCAGAAGCGCTAGAGCAAAGGAGGCTGCAAAAACTCGCCGTCCTTGAATTCCATCAGGACGCATATGCATTTCTGCTGTAACACAGTTTGATGTAGGATCGACATATTGATAGACTCAAGACTCAAGAAGTCTGAAATAGTATCTCTGAAATAGTAACGAATATAACGTATGGTTTAAAGATATTATAAATCTAATGCGTGTGGAAAATAAGAAAATATATTTTATTTCAATAATTTTTTCCTTATTAATATTTCTTAATAATTATAAATTACTCTCAATAATTATAAATATAATTAATCATTTGTAAAATTCATTTTTATATTACAGACTAACTCTCGTTTTTATAAGCGTAATAAATTATTTAACCAAAGCGCTACTCTATGATTCAGCAATTATCGTAGAAATTTCTTCAATATAACTCGGTTCTCCCATAACAAGTTTTTCTTCTTCTATACTCCTCTTCTCCTCACTTTTGAGATCTGTTAGGGATAATGTATCTTCCTGAGATGATGTATCTGACACTTTAAAAGATGATTTTCTTAATAATCCTGATGCATGAAACCATATGTTATAAATTTAACACATTACAAAATAACTTACAATCGCCCTTGAGGTCATTATCATCCTCTATCTCACTCTTTTCATAACTGAAATTTTCATCTTCACTTCCAAAATGTATGTACGACAAAGTACATACGAGCATTATAAAAAATAAATTTATACCAATTCCAACACAGGATGATAGAATTGGCCAATAAAACATCCAATAACGTAATCCTGATAAGTGAGCATTTATTATCAGATTGGCAGAATAGAATTCTATATGCCGTGATTGAATTTCAATAAATATAATTGTCACTGGATGGTTCTAGAATATTTGAAATTACGATATTAGATTTTGATATTAGATTTCTTACAAAATTACAAACTTGAATTGTAAACTTAGAAAGTTTTACTAAGATTCTTACCTGATCCTCTTCAAAGTTATTAAATAATTCAAGAACAATGTCTTGTTTCTCTTCAATGTTCCCAAAAATCATCATAGGCGAAAACAGGAGAGTTGTAAGCGTATGTAACAATGTGCTACGGTAATGTAACATAGCTGATTTACACATATGGTCTACGAGATGACCTTCACGGCTCCGTAATTGCGCGCAAACCATGAACATACCTTGAGAGAAAATTAACTTTCGATAAAACATAACATTAAGACTCTTATTTTAGATCATGTATGTGAGAACACAATCAATAGGAACTAGAAATTAAATTATTAACTTATAACGGTTGAAGTTGAATCTTTAATGCTTAAATAATTTAATGTAAATTTTATATATATATTATATATATGTATATATATATATATTATATGTATGCATATATACGCATATATATGCCTGGTATATATGCATGTACATATTTAATTTCTAGTTTGTATTGATTGAGAACATAATTCTTACAGAATAAAATTGGAAACTTTACCGAGTTCTTTGTTCGCTGTCGATTCTGGCATTTCTAGATGTAAATTTATTTTGTATGGCTGCCCTACCATCAGAAGTTGCTGCCTCTTAGTCAACTGTACATGAGCTTGCGGAAAGCTACATATTCCTTTCTTCTCGTTGCATGATCTAAATAAATATGAATAATAAATTAACACATAATTCAGTTTAATTGATATCTCAATCATGCATAGACAAATATTAGATGTTATTAGATACTTTATGAATATTAGCTATATGAAAAAAAAATATATATATATATAGTACTGCGAACTTTGCTCACTCCTTAGACTTTGATATCTTTAAAAAATACAATCCACATATCTAAGCATTATCACTATCGTCATCATATTTTTAAACTAACACATAAAATGTAGAACTTACTTGAATTGCAAATGTACAGGACGCACATATGACATGCTGGGCATATAGGAGTAGTAAAAAACTGTGTAAAGAAATATAGATAGCCAGACTATTAAAACAGTGCTAATGATAACAATACCACCACGGAAAACTGTATCTTTCGCAGATTGTATGTTTTGTCTGGTGGTTTTCTGTATGTTAAACCACTTCCTACTAATCTTACGTAGTAATATTGAAATTAACATTTTGCACGATTATTTCCAAAATTGCACAGCTAGATTTACGAATTAGAAAGACGTCAATTGGATTCGGATAGCCGATGTTACATAACGATGGACTAAATATTTATTAAATTACTAAATTCTTTCCATAATTTCACTATTATTTTAATGGCACATTAGTTCACGTTATTTAGAATCGAAAAATTTTCAGACGAAATCACGATAGATGAAACGAAGAAAACGAGTGGCGTCGACCGTATTCAGCATCACTAGATGTTAGCAGATCGAGTATCTCCAAAGCAATGTGGATATCAATAAGGTACTTCGGCATCTCTACTCTATAATGCTCGACTGAAAGGTTATGTACAAACAAATATAAACATGATACGAGCACGCGAATCGTATTTGCATGGAGTGATTTTGTAGATGTCGAGAATACTTAATTAGCTTTCTGATTTTTCCTTTTTGAAAAGAAACAGTCTCCATAGATGGCGTCAGTACTTTAGGTTCTTGATATAACAGTTGCTAGCGGAAATAACGAAAAAAATTGTAATTAGAACAACAAAATTGCGAAATTCAAAATTTGGGTTTGTATCTCCTAATCACGTTGTGTCTTTGATGTTTTATTAATTTATTTATGTTTGCAATCAGAATTTTCGATTTAAAATTTTGAAAAATTTTAGAATTATTAATAACTGTGAAAATTTCAATTGTCTCCTTTATATTTATCTAATTACATAATGTTGTCGATTTTTGAAAATTTAAATTATTTTATTGGATTTCTTCTCAGTCGATAATTACAAATTATCATAATTACTATAGCCGATAGTTTATGTATAATCGATAATATTCCTGTCAACTTCACCGATCATAGATAATTTTCGGCATTGTTCGTAGTTACCGACGATAAGAAATTTTTCAGACAATATAATTTTATATTATAATAACTGTTATAATAAATAAATAAATATCTCTCTGTTACATATTTGCAAAGAAAATTTTTTTCAATTAAACGGTAGTTTCATATTTTCAGAAATATTCATCAATTTTATTCTAATATCGAGAATTAAGCCATACAATTTAAATTTGTGATTTATTTTATTTCAGTTTAACGGAACATTTATCGAAATAAATTCTTCCAGTAACTTTGATGGGTAAGTAAATTTTGAGGTTTTTCAAATATTTGAAATTTAATTTCAAATGTATCAATCAATATATTTAAAACTATTTTAGAAGAAAAATCAGATTAATTAAAATAAAATTGCAATTGTCTTTATAAATTTTTGATATTCAGTTACTTGCATTATTTGATTAAAAAATGAAATGTCAAAGTTTGTCAAAGTCATTTTCAGAACAAAAAATCTTATATATATCTTAATTTTAATTTTCTCACAAAGTGCATTGCTCCACGTATTTTAACTTAAAATTCAACATAGAATTAAACTTGTTATTGAACTTGTTATTGAAAATTAATATACAGTTTTGGAACGATGTTTTCTAAATTTTTTATAATTCTAAACGCTCTTATACTTATTTTAAGTTTCTCGAATAAGACCTTGAAAAAATTTTTCATTTTCTAATGTATATTTAATTTCATGCAAGAATGTAGAAAGGAATATGGAGAATGAGAAGCATCTGCTTTGAAGTCAAGGACGCAATTATTTTAGAGAGAATTAGAAAGCAGTAATCGTTACGCAATTGTATCTTTATTTAACTGTACATAAATAAAGTGAGTGACTTTATACTATTTGTTACATGTGTATATTACACATCAACTAATATTATTTTTTTACACGTAAGCTATTGTGATGATACCTAATCTTTTAAATTTTCGGTAGCATCTGACATAATTTGTTTACTTGCTATCCTGACGTTATTAGGCGAATAATTGCGGAACAGAACTTCCTCCTCCCGGAAATAATTACGCAATTGATCTAATTTCATACAGTGTGCTTCTGCAAATAAAAATAATCAATATTAATGTATGATGTTAATAATTTTTAACAAAGTTGTTCTAATAATAAAACAAATTCTTTTATATAGTCTTCAACATATTGTAGATATCTTGATGCTATTTACCGTTGCCATTGTATATACTTACTATGAAGGTTTGCAATACAGTCCAATTCTCCACCATAGTCCTTTGGCAGATATTCGGGCGGTATATGAGAATACAAGTCGGAGATATCATCCGAATAAATTCGAATCTGCGGGAGTGAAAGTTAAAGTCAACTTGTAAACCACGCGCTGAATGCATGAAATCAGAAATGTCAATGTATCTTGTTAACGTCAATTATGCACAGAAATACATATTCATGTATACGTAACTGCATATTATATGAATCTGTTTTTGATTTATACAAATCCGGTTCTAGTTTAACCAAGGCTAAGTTACGAATTTTTTATGTTTAAAATATAATTTTTAATCTAAGTTAATTTAAGTATTTAAAAATTGTTAATTTAAAAATTGACAATCACAAAAAAAATAGAACCTAATAATTATTCTCCCTTTTTTTTCCATCATATATGCTTTTTTTATACGTCTTTGATTAGATTCACCGATGAAATATTATTAATAGTCATCTTATCAATAATAAATATCATGTTGTTATAAATATTATATTATTAATCATTATTATTAATTTTGTTAAAAAGGATTTCACATTCCAAAGTATATATATTATTAACGACGATGTTCCTATAATCTATTATTTCAAAGATTAAAAAATAGCACCACAGATGCAATTGTTTAATTTTTTTTCGAGCCTGATTTTTTTCCATAATAATTAACATCTAATTCATATTTTACTACTAGAGATATTCAGGGTTCCTATTTATTCCTAATTATGAATCTGTAATCAAAATTTTAAAATTAAAAATGTCAGATCCAATACAACGGATGAGCGCGAGCGTGGTGTAGCAGATAGCGCTGATCTACTATACTAGAGATCTCGGGTTCGGCCGACAACCGAAAAATTTTCGTACGCTCATATCTTCTCTTGAAAGGCAAATCACCGAGTAGTATACTTGCTCAAGAAACCTTCCTACCAAAAATTGCCGTTCAGAATCAACGTTTAAACTATAGGTTTCTCTTGTGTATCAGCCTAGAAAGCCATGTCTGTAGAAAGCAGATTTTTTAAAATGTCTGCTACCTACTGTGCCAACAAAATAACAACAGAATTGTTATAGAATTAGATGTACATAATACTGTTAACAAACTGCTAGAAAAAACGTAACGGAATTTGCAAGCAGAAGTAAATACAAAATGGAGAAAGAAACAAAGCAGATTTGTGGTATAATCTGATGGTACATTGTCTACAGAAATCAGTAGATCCTGTCAACATCACCTAGCACTAGACTGTCAGTAGAAACGACGCAGATCTTGCTCTGACACGATTTGACAGAAGATTGTTGATAGAAAATCAGATTCCGGGACAATCTGTCGACAATTTGCTGTCAGGTCGTCAGAGCAGGATTTGCATCGTTTTTGCTGACAGTCTAACGTCAGATATTATCAGCAGGATCTGCTCAGTTTCTGCTAACAATTTGCCTTCACATTATGTCGACAGGCGATGTTAACAGAGCCTAACGCGGACACAGTTGATGGCAGACTGCCGTCATTTTCTGCTCGAATTTACTGATAATCTGCTAGAAGACTGCAGACATTTTGCTATCTGGGAGTGTGTCCGTACAAGTATATGAGAGGGAGGCGTCTACACACTGTGAGCGTATGGCACTTGAAGAAGAAGAAGAAGAATACGGATCAAAAGTAAAATTTTTTTATATGAGTAAGATCCTAAAATGTAAATAAAATCATAATTAACGATTTTAAAAACCCTTGGAATATAAAATTTATTAAAATCCAAGAAAATTTTTTCATTTTGGTCCATTGATTTCGTTATTTTGAAATTAAATAGCGATTTTTCTTATAAATGTTGATCTAGAAAATGATCCCAAAAAGAACTCGCTATTTTATTTTTGTAGAAGATATATGCATTTTTTATTTTTATCCTATTTTATAATTTGATGAAATAGGCAGATAAAAGGAGGAAAACTCATAAGAGTGTTGTTTTTTTAAATGAATTTTATCCTTTATCTTTAAAATGAACCTAAGAAAAAGTTATTATCTTTATTTATGTGAAAAATATGAATTTTTGAAGGTTAGGTTAGCACATTTATGTGCCATTAAGTACGAAAGAGTTAAATTAAATTATCTAATTTCTTTGATTTTTATTAAGTATATACCCCTGGCGCGCTTTGGCGATCTACAGTTTTAATCCCAAAAACCTATAAATGTGCTACTACTGTAAAAAATTTATAATGCAAAATGTTGCTTTAATCAATCTTAGTCACACTCGTACTGATCGCGAATCGTAAATCAATTTACCATTTCGAATAGTTCTTGCTTCATGAATGGTCTCATAATCGCAATGATCTTGTCCATGAACCAGATCGCATTCACCACATAGATCCCTTTAAGTCTCAACGGTATGCCTTCTTGAACATACTCCAAGGCTTTACGAAGGCTGTTTATCGACAATCTGGTCAAATGACCAAATCGCGTATTAGCCATGTCCACAAGAAGTATATATCCCTCCGAACAACCATTCGTATAAAGGTTCGCGTCATAGGACATGAACAGCAGCTTGAGGCTGTCGTTGAATATGTACTGGGATGGCCGTGGGTCCGCCAATCGTTGAACGATTATCCAGTTACCATTTTGATCAAGCTTAGGAAGTATCGCGAATTCCCTACAACACAGATAAAAGTTAAACTTTTTGAGCATATTTTAATGTATTAAGCCGAGTATGTATACACCTACGAACGAACATCGAACGAATAGAAAAGTCCGCTGTTGTTATTTATTGCACAAATGTCGCACAAGTTTAATTGTTGCGAACACTGAATCTGATCAAATAATTTTTTTGGAATCAAGACAAAGTAAAAGATTTTTCTCGATTATCAAGACTCTTATCGGTACTAGATGAATTGCGTGGATAATTGAGCGATGTGGAAATTATAACGACAAAGATATCTATGCAGTCAAAGTAACTATTGGAAGGCATAATCAGGATGAGACGAATTGAAAGAAAAGAAAAAAAGGCAGACAAAAATCGCTCTCCACCATGTAACATTTGTAACAATGAAGTATTGCATTGAAGTAAAGATATAGACAATACCTAATATTTTCATTAACATAAGATAAGATAAATTGAAGAGCTCAATTCGCGTAAATAAATATTAAAAAAGTTTTTTTCGAATAATTTCCGTAATTTCTGGTATCTGCCATGCGAGAATTGTACGCAACGCGAAAGATAAAACTTCCCTTTTATTTACAAAATAAAGCTTTTCTTTCATGTTTATTTATTGTTTAAGTAAATAAAGATTATTTAAAATCTGCTAATAAGTGCGTACAAGGTTCTCAAAGAATGTTGCAAATACTCGAGGCTGGAATCTCTATTGTTAAACAATTCCGGAGTCGTTGCTCGTATACTGTAGTAAACGTTCATGCATCGTCTCGTGGCCTCTATGTCGAAGTAACAACTGTGCGTAAATAACGCCAATTGTTCTTTGGGAATATTGGGAAGACCTTGATCATTCGCCCATTTTTGCAGATTGTCCAAAATCTCGTCCGTGATTTCTGGATATTTTTTCCGCGAGTCTTCGATTGTGTGGCCGAATCTCATCCTATAAGAAATCGTATTATAATATAATTGTATATAATATAATAATTGTAATAATCATTGTATAATAATTGTATATAATAATCTCATTATATATTGTGCGAGTAAAAAAACTATCTATTAAAATTAATAGCCTTTTTATTAACGTAGATACGCGAGATAATGAAACAAAGAAAATCCAAAGCGTAAAGTCAAATAGCTGAAATATGGATCATTAGTTTCCCGCGTAATAGAATTTTCATCGCAAATGTAAGAATCATCGCTTACAAATAGCTGATATGTAATTTCGCTTGAGTGACGTCATAATAATTACTATTGCGCAATCGCGATGTTTGGATCAGAACTAAGATTATTTTTGGCACTCAATCTTATATTTAAAAAGCATGACATTGTTTAGAGTATTGAATTTAACATTAAAATATTCAAAAAATTTCATATTAAGAAATTAAGGCCCGTATTCAGAATGCGTTTTTATGATGTAGCGTGTATTTAGCATGTAGTTAACATTACGTATATTATAGAATTTTAGATATAAAAATACATATTTATCGATAAAAGCGCGTTCTGAATACAGATCTAAGATTATTATTTGTATAATTTTGTAGGAAAGTGAGAAATTAAACTGTAAACATTGTTATCAAAACATTGAAAACATAAATCTATTTTTTATCAAACAATTCTCTGAACTGCACGCGGTGCAATAAATTGAAGTGAAACAAACATTAGTTCAGAAAATTCACTGATAAAGAATAGATCTTATATAATGATATTTATTTTATAATGAACTCGGTTGACTACAGTACGTACCAGTGCATATTAAAGCCATTGTACACTGATTTAATTTGTGTAAAAATAAAATGCAAATATTGAAAATTATAGAATACAGATTTTATTTAACAGCACAATAAAATGTATTAAGAATTTCATGGGTTTAATCCGCTTTTATGTTTTTATTAAACACATATTTTTACATTGACTTGTGTACAACGGTTTTAATGTACACCAGTGCGTACTATTTATATACATATATGTAATCTACGATTACGTATTAATAGCGTTGTACTGACTGACGTATATGGGATTATAACCGGTATAAGAAGTGAGGAGGTTATCACTACCCGACCTTTACTCTAAAGAATAAAAATATTAGAAATATTATCATTTTATCTGCACACATGTTCACAGTTTCCCTTTTCTTACATGTATAATAATGACATTTTTGAACTAGAACGGATTATACAACTATAATAGAAATTTGATGTATAAAACTTTAAAAGAACATAAATACAAGGTATTTTTATCCGTTGAAAACAGATAAAATGACTTTAATATACTTTCATGATTTTAATTTTACATACATTCAATTCTACATCACATATTACAATTTGACTTTTTTAATACCTGAAAAGATCCAAGAAATATCGTTGATTATTCTTAAAATCGATTTCTTCCCTACAATTGATTACGCACGATATCGCCGCACAGAATCTATTTTTTTTTTATTTATTAACAAAGTGATTTTAACACTTTTGATAACACTTAATAAATGTATTTTTCTATAGTTATCTTTTATTCTAACGTACACTATTCTAAATTTAAAAATATACTTAACGTATTTGTATACGTAAAAATCTTTGTTTTTTTTTTTTAAGATAATATATGTAACGTGTTATAATTGAACAGTGAATTGCACTCGACAAAAATACTTTCACGTTCGGAGTATACGTTCGGTGATTGAACACACTATACAATGACTACAGTGTACTTCGCACTCGCATTGACGATTATTGCAGTGATGATTATTGCCGCGCATGATAAAAAAAATATCCCCGCTTATGTATATATGTTGTATTGGAATTAATTGCGACGTAATGAAGAAGTAAATGTAAATAACATATAAAAAAAGCAATCGTCATCAAAAGTGGCTATTACAAAGATCTTAGAGTACGATATACAAAATAATAGTGACGTCATTCCTTTAATTAAATTAGGCTGGATTATTCCATCTTTCTGTAAACTTCAGCTTACTGTCTTATTCTCTTACTTTCTTATGTTCTTACTTTTTTACTCTTTTCTTTATCCAATAAGTAAATTATCACATAGTTTATCTAAAGATAGAACAACCGGCTCTTAGAGATGTTCATTTGACAAAAAAAGATTCACGATTTTATTTATTTATGTTTAAAAATAACAGAAGAGTGAAACTTACATCTAAAAGATCTTTAAAACCGATATTCACAATCGGTTTTTATTTTAAGACTATCTTAATAATGTCTTAAAGTGTTAATATGACTCTCTCTGGTTGATTTATGACATCTTAAGAGACTATACTTAAGACACTACAGTATTAAATATATAAAAATCAACTGCGAATACCTTAGATTGAATTAGTTTTATTTTCGGTAAATGAATACTTTGCAAGTCATTTTTTTGTTTGTATAGGCAGTGATTCAGGAATCACTTGCATACCCAGTAAACGAAAATGGATTAAAATAGATTCAGATTTTCAGAAATGTAGATTCAGAAATATGGAATGTTAAAATGAATTCTTTTCAATCTTGAATGCATTTTTATTCATTTATAGAAATGGAGTATCTTTCTACGTGTATGCTTTTCAATCTAAAAAATATTATTGTTTATAGTATTTTGTGTGTATATCGTGAATACTGCTTAATTAAAAATTTTAAATAGAAAATGCAGTTTTTCAATCCAATTAAATTTAAAAATAATATCGGCCATTTCTATGCATTGTAAATACTGTTTAATTAAAAATTCTGAATAGGGAAATGCAATTTTTCAATCCAGTTGAATCTAAAAAATAATATCAGCCATTTCTGTGCATTGTGAATACTATTAAATTCTGAATAGGAAATGCAGTTTTTCAATCCAATTGAATAAAAAAAAGTTTTTCTTTTAATGAACACACGGCCAACACAAAGCGGATTTTTTTTTACCTGTAGATTGGCGTAAACTATAAGTAATTTTTTAATATTCATGTAACCATAGTAATTATTGGAATTTTTATTTATTTTTACAAATCACCAGAATCACTTTGAGAAAATATTTACTTTAAATTTTATGAAAATTAAAAATGAGGAACAGACTTTCAAAATGTGTTTTGTCCAAAATTTATAATTTTCAGGAGAGAGAAAGAAAAAATTACGTACACAAGAAAACTATGCACTTTACAGAAAATAACAATATATCAATCAGTAGGATGTGAAATATTAAACAAAATTGCTTAACAATTGTTAAAAATATTAAACAAATGCATTTTATTTGTTTCTAATTAAAAAACATAATGCACTTTAAAATATCTTACTATGTTTTTTCAACATATAAATGTTTTTTTCAGCATATAAATTAACTATGAAAAAATGCTTTTTAAACTCTGATTCTCAGAGTAGTTTATAATATAAATCATTCGATACTGAACACTACATCATCTCTAATTAAAAAAATGAAATTTTGGACGCATTTTGAAAGTCTGCTTCTCAAATATAGAAATATCTTTTAGAAGTATCTTTTGTTTATTTCCATTAAAAATATAATATAGCTCATATGTGTGTATTTCTAAATGTTAATATTAATTAGTAAACGTTCGAATTGATGACGAAGCGACATTGACAGTTCGTTTGATTAAGCGAAGTCCGACGATCGATTTGAGCTTCAAATTCAATAGAAACTCAATAGAAAAGATATCGAACGGCGACTATTAGATACAAGAGAGTTTTGTGCATAATTTTGTAAGACATAAATGTAAAACTAACGTTCAACTCGGTATGTAAATCTCAATATTGATTATTAATATTATTATATAACTTTGAAATAGAAATTCAAAAGTCTATCTTGAGAAATGATATTTCCTGATAAGCATTTTAATTTCAAGACAAGATTTTAATTTATGACAATAAATTCTTATTGAAAAGTTAAAAGAAATCTAAGGTTTCTATTCGTTATCCACAATTCTCTCGACCAGATTTTGTATTATGCGTTGGTGAGAAAATAGGTTGCGGGATATCACAGTATTGGTTTTCAACCATCGCTCTTGTACACCTGGCCAATGAACGGCGATCAGATAGCGCGAAGGCTACCGACGAGAATGGGCACGTAGGGCACGCGGTCGCAAGGGCGGTGAGTAAGGGAGGATCAGCGGAGGGATGTGTTCACCGGTGGTGCGCTCGCTGGAGAACAGGTACTCACCGTAGGCGTCGTACGTTCATTGATAAGCGTATAACACCCCGTGCCTTAGACCCGATGACGTCAACGGACGCCTGCGCAGCGTCGCACCGAGTCCTGAATCGCAGTGGTGACCATCAGCGTTGCAACGCATCCGGTTTCTTTGCTGTATCGTGTATACACAGTGAAACTCTTTTCTCTCGCATAGTTCACACATAAATTTATCTAATCATGATATCTGCGGTTGAAAGCATAATTGTTGAATGTAGACTATTATTTCCTAAACATATAATTCTTTTAACGATGCAGCAACGTAACTGGAGGGAATTGCATTCTAATTAGTCTGCATGGCAATGTGCCAAAACTCCTAACAATACTTTATTATTCATACTCAACTGCATGCTATATTATTGAATTAATAACAATACTTTTTTACGAATTAATTAAAATCTTTTTTAATAAATTTATTAAAATGTCTATTGTATTTGTTGTAGATTATTAAAATTAAACGCCAGAATTTTCGTTGATTGATGCAATCGGTACATCAATGTAATCATCTAATGGACTCATATGGAGTATATTTGGAATTTCTACAGAGGCGAAACTTAATACGTTCCTGATACGACAAGATCGTTTTAGATGACGAGGGGTACTGTCGTCTCTTCCGCACGGGGAAATTTGGATAAGCATGCGTGCGTGCGATGTGTTAAAATTAGACTAGGTATTTCTCCGAATCTCGACGGATCCCCCTCTTTATTCTCCGTGCAATTCTACATTGGCCATTCGTCCAAGAGAGAAAAATTGCGCAAGAGGAGAAAGCACAATGGGATTAGAATGAACACAATTAGAATGAAACGAATAGAAGAGAATCGAAGGACAGAATAAAATAAATGAAATAGATGTAGGCGGTGGAGAGGAAGGCGAAGGAGAGGGAGAGTTTCGGAAAGAGGAAGTGAGAGAAGTAGAAAAACAGAGAAAAGAAGAGAAAGAGTGACAATGAGAGGAAGAGAGAGTAGAGATATCGTAGGATCACCTCTTGCGTATTGATTGGTCTTTTGTGAAAGCTACACCCCCATGTAGCCGCGACGCGAACCATTTCGTCAAGTCACTAGACTTCCAGGGTATCGGCCAGTAGGGTGGCGGTGCCGCCATATTTGGCACGGTCGATCGAACCCTTTTAACGTAGCGCACGAATCATCGCGGTCGCCCCTCGTCGCCGATGATAATGTCGTGAGCGCGCCGGCAATCGAGCTGACGCGACGTGCGTCCCGGCAGCGAGGGTGAAAGGGGGACCACTTTCCATTCCCCCAGATCGACGAGAGCGAGCGAGAAGTGATGTAAGGGAAGATCGGACTCCGACGATACAGCGACTCTATATCGGCATCGATCGCTGAGTGACCCATATCTAGCGGTGACGGGAGCCTCTGCCCTCACCCTCCCAATACCCCGTCGCCTTTCCAACCGCCCCTTCGACGCTTCTCGCATCCTGGCGCGCGCGTCTGCCCTCTCCTCGACCACCCCCGTTCGTTTGCCATTCCTTGTACTCCATACGGGGGTACTCCACCCCACACGGGCCGTTGTACCCCCACCCGTTATTCTCTTCCTCCGACATCGGCGAGCGACCACCACCATCACCCCCTACCCCCGACTCCAGCAGCCCTGCCTGCTTTCCACGGCCGAGCAGATCTTGGGGGTTGTACGGGATGATAGCCGAGTGAAAAAGCTTGGCAGATACCGAGGAGAGTTCGCTCATCAGCAGCAGCAGCCCTGGCCTGCCACAATCCCTTCGATTCGGTCATCGTAAGTGTCGCGTCGACGAGGAGGTAGAGTCGAAGCTGGTGTGAGTCAGGTGGCGAGGGTGAACGCGAGAGAGAAAGGGTGAGAGCGAGAGAACGAGCGACAGAGAGGAATGTCTGAAAAGTGCGAACGGGAGTGAAAGAAAATCCGATTAACTGATATCGGTCTGACTGTCTGACATCCTCGAGGAGGCAATGAGCGAGTGTCACGAATGCGGAATATTGCAGACGGCACTTCCAAATGTATAACTCGCGCGAGACATTTCCGGGAGTGAATCTATCATTTATCTAATCTGGTTCTGGTCAATCCACAAGCTCAACGTGTCGAGACTCACAGTGACAGTTCGTTGTGGAAGAGTGTTAGTGATGGGGATAAGGATGGCAGCGACGACGACGGTAGCAGCGGCAGGCGGCACCGGGACGACGGATCAGTATGGCGGACAATAATCGTGGAGTGTCGGTGGTGTCGCTGCCACCACCGCCGTCGCCGCCACCGCCACCACCACCACCGTCGCTGCCGTCACCACCGTTGCTCGCGATAGTGCTTGCACTACGTACCCGCCGTGCAGTGGTGTCCGGTGCGCACCGGGTGCACATGTACACTACGTACCTTTCGCCCTTTAGTGAGATCAATAAGCAGTGCCGTGGCCACTCATGTCGTGCCCCTGCCAAAAAAGTCATTTCGTGTTTGATATTCCTTCTTCCTTAATCTAATCGCGCGCCTTTTTCTCCAACTCCATCGTTACCGCTGCTTCTCTTGACGTAGGCGTTGTATTGTCTTGATTGGCCAATTTCATTGCACGAGGCTTTGAGCCGAGCCGCACGTCGAACGTCAAAGAGTCAAAGTGTTTCGGAAGTGGACAGCCTTCCGAGTCATCGTCGAGGATTGGCTTTCAGTGACCGGAAGTGCAGTGTTTTATCGGAACCTCTCCTTTTCTCGCTTTCTCCATTTCTTCTTCCCCCTTTTGAAGGGCGATTAAATGAAACTTCTTCAAACTCTTCCACGTTCAAGTTTCAACTCTTTTCCATTTATCTCCGTATATCTATCGTTATCTCGTCCGCCATCGAAATATTCCTCGATATCACTCGTCTGTTCACATAGCACTTCTTGTCCGCATCTAGAATCGAATTGTCAGCCAGCACACGGTAGGATTTCTTACCGTCTCCTTATTGCTGTCTCCATCTTCCTTCATCTATCTTACTCTGCCCTTCTTCGTTCACTCGTCATTTTTCGTGCTGTGCAAGTTTCTTTTCATTCACATCTTCAGTTGCAACACATTTTGTTGCAACAAAATTGTCTCTATCTATTTCTACAGTTTCGTTCTACAATTTCCGCGTTATCAGACCTACGAAATTTTATGATATTGATTTTTCATAACGACATGTTTTTCATGATTGAACTAAGTAAAAAAGTATTAAAAAAGAGACTCGTCGCGAAAAAAATTCTCGTTTTAATTCGAAATGATTCGAGATTGCCATATAATTAATGATTTATCCTGCAAAAGAATTGTGTGAGAACTTTTTACATTTTTGAAAATTAATTACTTTACAAACGTAAAGAATGAATGTTCATTCAAATATTAGATATTATAACAAAGATAAGTAATAACAAATTATTCCTTTTATAAGTTCTACTGTAAAATCTTTCTTCAATACCTAAAAAAATCATTTTTTTTAAATCATGTTTTTTTTATTGATGATGTATTGTTTGTATAATTCTGTTGTTTAGACTTAATGTTAGCATGCTATCAATTGTTCAATCAGTCTCAATCGATTTATGTTCAATGTTTGCTACAATGTCGACAATCAAAGAGTTAACGCGAAAAAAGTTCCACACTGTGAAGAACAAAGTAGCCACAAAGTAACAGCGATAAGATGTATTTACCTAAGCCGCGAGAGGTGAACCGCGTGTGGCAGAATAAAATCGATAATTCGGCACTAATATAGGAGTCTGGTATTAACTCGCATTGCGTGGATAGAGGGGTCAGAAGCGAGTTTTTTTTATCGGAAAAAAATCTGATATTTCTTCTCGCAACATTATACAATCAATCGTAATGACAAACATTTGCATAATACGTACGCACTTGTTCTGATCCTTTTTTTTTGAGTTTTATATTTTTTTGTTTATTTCTGCACGCGCAAAAAAGTTCTGTTTTTATTACTCGGTTATTTCAAGATACTATATCGATTCTTCGAGTCGTATCATATAGTTTGTTTTATCACATTTTGTTCCTCTATGTACATTGTAACAGCAACGCTGATTGTTCGTCAACGTGTTCATGAACTTATACATCAGAAAAGCGGATAATTTCCTGATCGTCGCCTTTCACTGTGTTCGTTAGTGTCGGGAGAAAGAGAAACAAAGAGCGGGAGCATGCACAGCAATTAAATAGTATCAGAGGATGGAAGCGTACATGAGAGAGTTGCCATTAAATAGCGTTAATAGGAAGGCGATGAAAGAAAAGGAAAATGAGAGACTGCATCTAGCGAGACGTTTTCTCTTTTGCACTTCATTGTCAATTATATTACAGTGTACGCAAATGATTTTTACAACGCATTACACACGCTCTTACGTCAATTATCGCATTTCATTCTATTGATAAAAAATGTTTGTTGACTTGTAGCACAGCTAATTTAACTTTTCTCACTAACTTCTTTTATATCGATTCAGTATATCTTTGTGCTGACATATTTCTTCATTTCTCCGATCGTAATATACATTTCTCCAACTACTCTTTAAGGAAAAATGTACGTATAAAGTTCTTACTCTATTCTTTTGCAGGATCAATTTGTACTTTTCGCTTCCGGATTTATACATCAAGCGTCGATGGCTGATGACAACTGAAAATATCGCAGTAAAAAAAAAACCACTTGATCTTTGGTGATTGAAGATAGATGGCAAGAAAGAAAGCGGGGAAAGTTAACCGCATACACTTTTATCTCGGTGCGTAGACGCAGAGACGGGACGAGGGCGTGAAACTCTGCGATGCGCGTAAATCGCTAACTGAAGCTCGCTTGAAATAAGGCATTCGTTGTAACGTACACGTTAAGATTCTATGACAAGTGCGGCTTGGATGTAGATGTATATATGTTTATGTGTGTTGTGTGTGCAGTTGTGTATATATGTTTATGTCTGTTGTATGTAGTCTCAATCGCAGCAATTTTTTTCGAGTAAAAACCACAATCGAGCACTTGGCCGCACGCAACGCGTTAACACGAAATATCGCGCGAGCACTCTGCTCTCTGCTCGCGCGCTGTAGTTAATACTCCCTGGCTGTGCCTATCGATGTTAAAGTACATATTCGCGGTCGGTTGGGTTCATTGTGGATGCCGACAACGAGTGATCGTCGACCATAAAGTCGCAAATCGAAGCGAGGATTTCTACCGGCGGATTATAAACTCGATCGAATTCCTCGCACCAATACCTGTTGCCAATAATCGCGCCGATTGACTTTCTCATTTAACAAGAAACTCCTACAGTTTTAGCGAACAGATCAAAACAGCCCTTTAATGCGCGATAGTTGAATCATAAAGCCGTTCTTTATTTGACACAAAAAGGATCAAGCTGAAGAAAGTTTTTCTTATTATTCTAAAGTCTTAAATAGTTTTTGAATTAATAACTTTTTTGTTTACCTTTAAAATTAAATGAAATTACTGTAGAGAACTTATAGCATCAAAAAGATATATAGTTTAAAGGTCGTAAATAAAATAGATAAGAAAATCAGGCTACTTGAAAGTAATTTTATCAAATAAAGGGCCAAAATCGATGCAATCTACTTCGCGCTATATTTGACTACGACATACATTTCTCACATTTCGTAATTAACACGTCAATAATTTCGCTCATTAAGTATTAATCTTATTTCCTAAATCTGAAAATATAAGATTGTGGCGAGGGAGTGCCACTCATTAAAAATATTTTGCATACGTTCATTTTCTCCTAGGATGATCCCATATCTAACTACGAATCAGCTGATCCGATGCAAAGGAACGCTGGTTCCCCTTAAACGCGAGGTCCCCCCGTTTCCCAAGAGAGCTACGAGAACAAGTTCCGGTTCATTCCCGAGGCGGGGTACGCACGTGACGGGAGAAATAAGAATTCTATACTTTGTACTGCAATAGAGTCGCACTGTTAGGCGTGTGTGGGATCGTCGTGCGGTGCGCGGCGCGGCTCGGCGGGCCGCGCAAAGGCCGCCCAATTAATTAAGATAGCTCCTAGACACACACGCTAGATCGATAGGGACCGGCCGCGATAAAGACTGGCGAGGGTCTCAGACTTCAGGGATGTTGCAGTGCTGTGGTGTTGGAGGTGGCGCTTCCACGGCACCTCAGGCTCCGCAGCTGCACGGTACCGGATCCGCTGTCGGGGCTACCACCTCCACGAGAACCACCATCATGCAGGACGCAGTTCTCGAATCCATCCTGGATGTGAGCATCATTTGAATATATAAAACAATTTTGCAGACATTGCTTTCCCATTTTTTTTAATTTTATTTTAAGAATCTATTATCTGCATGAAAAAACTGTGATGTTGAATCAACAGCATTATTTTAGATAACGTTGATTTAACAACAGTATTAATAAAAAACAAATAAAGTTTTATTAAATTATGAGCATGACATATTTGTTTCATCAATAATGTCATTTGTGCGTGTGCATGCGTGCGTGCGGGCGTGCGTGTATGCGTGCGTGCGTGCGTGCGTGCGTGCGTGCGTGCGTGCGTGCGTGCGTGCGTGCGTGTGTGTGTGTGTGTGTGTGTATGCGCGTGTGCGTATGCGTGCGTGTGTATGTGTGTGAATTAACAAAATTATTTTTTAAAATAATGCTGTTGGTACATTATTTCTTTTTTAGTTATTAGAATTTAATTAATTTTTTTATACTTTTTTAAAAATATATTATACATTATTAATAATAACTTAAATTTTTATTAAATGCAATCTTTAAGATAATGGAAAATATTTTAAATACAATTTTTATATATATTTTTTTTAATTTTTTTAGGTAAGATTTCTGCTATTACTTTTTATGTGAGAAAAACTGAGTTATTTCAAATCTACGGGAAAGGCATTTTCAGTAAGGCAGCGGGATATTATTTTGTAGCTGCTAAAAATTAAAGATCATCCACGTGGCGATATTAATGAATTTGTAAAACATGTGCGTGCGCTTTGTCGTGAATTGAAAGTCCTTGAAATTAAACAGATTAGGTTAGTGGAAAGGTAATATGCATGTAATCAATACGCACACATACACACGTGCGCGTGAAAGTTACATGTAAACCATCGACAATGAACCACAGCTCATGAAAAGCTCTCTTTTACTCTCGGCGTGGCGCTCGCCGGCACTTAATAAAGCATACGTAATATGAAAAACAAAAGTTTTTATTAATGCGTTCCGGTAATGATTGCTCGTTCTCGAGGGAACTTTAATTTGCAGCTTCGCCGCGCGTAAAATATAAACCGCTTAAACTTTGTTAACGATTGAAATTTATGTCTCCTCTACGCGATCATGCCTCAAAGCAGATCTCGGAAATCTGTGCGGAAAATTAATACTGACCCGGCAGAAGTTCAAGTTACCGTAATCGAAATAATTGAGCAATTAATTTCGCGAAATGGTAAGCAATTTTACAGATTATAAAGCAATCGGTGTCATGCCATAATTGTTAGCTAATTATAAAAAGCTATTAAAGAGGAAATGTCGAAGAAAGCGTGATCCCCCATTAGTATTGTCTTTTTTATATATCATTTTATATATCATTTTTTGACAAAGGATCTCTACAGTTAGATTTTATATAGCGAAATCAGCACACCTTCGAGCATCGGAGTACAAAAGCTCCCCTTCATTACAAATGTGACATTCTTGTCGCGTATCCAACTACACGTCGCTCCGAGTCATTAAAAGCCAAGCCTTATAACCACAAAAATCAAATCAATTTCTTTTTTTATCTGTTATTTCCACTCTAAAGAAAACACTAATATAATCTATGAAATTATATTAAAGTCTATTATAAAATTCCCACGTACATTAAACTCTAAAGTATTATTACATTTAAATACATTTATGGTTTTTCTATTATAATATAGTATCACTTCTATTTCAGTATGTATTATAAAATAATATGTATTACAATTCTAAATTCTATTTCTTTGAATCAAGCATTCATAAAAATATATAAATATTTATTTCTTATCACTGCGTGATTTGGAACGATAAATCATCTGTAAATAGCTATTATTAATCGAGACATCGGTACAACCTTAACAAATCACTGTCGTGTCTATGTAACGACATACTATCGCGTAACATATATCACATTCCGAAGAGTATAGTCCATCTATATTCTGTCACATATTGATAAATTTATTTATGATGCTAATGATCAATTTTTTTCAGCAAATGCGGGAGACGGAAGCCCAGCGAGCGGAGCTGGAGAGGCAGCATGCGGACGCACAAAATCAGCTGCGGGAAAAGATAGCAGGACGCTATCAGGGCCCGGAATCGGTTGAGGCATTACAATCGAAGATCCGAGAGCTCGAAAAGAAGACCGAGTTGCAGATGGTGAAGCACGAGGAACTTTCGCTGGAGCTAACTAGTCTGAGACGTGCGCGCAGTAGGGGGCCGGTCGTGGGACATGTTACGTCCACGAACGCTCCTACATCCACTTGGCCGCCGGCCGGATCTGAGATTGATAGACTCATGGCCAAGATTGAGCAAGATAAAGGGTATGCCAATTAATAAAATGGGTCCTTTTGATCGAGAAAAATCGGCAATCGTGAAAGCACACTCTATCAAAATTTAAATGTTACTAATTATGTTAATATATTAATTTATGTAAACATTAATTGTTTGTAAAAGTTAATTGTTTTAATTATATCTGATAAGTCTGAATCAAACACGGATTTTGTATTAATAAAAATAAATTCAGCTCCGTCAGAATATTGCACGAATTGGACCACACGCGGGGCGCGATAACCACGCAACAACCCTCAGCCACGCAGGGAATCCTTAGGTCCAGCTCGGAAAATCTTCCTAACCTCGGTCAGCATCAGCATCCACCTCATCCGCACGCCCTCAACCTCGGGATGCCTACTCAGATGAGCCATGTGCGTAATCTGCTTACATCATATTGTACGATACAAAAAGCTTACATAATATTACATAATCTTTCTACCTAATTTTTATAACGAAAAATTGGAAGAAATTCGATATAAAATTCCCTCAATTTATTCTTATTGAAAATGAACTAACAAAAATAATTCTTTAAGTAATTCTCTGATCTATGCTTTCTTTCTGATATTTGCTGATTATTGAAATAATATAAAACTTGTTCAAACAGTATGCAGGTTCACCAATGCCATTAACGCCGATGATGCCTGGTTGTCCTCCACTGACGCCGAATGGACCACCATATCACTACAGCGAACCGATACCGCCGGCACCGTCACTTTCCAGCAGTCAGTCGCAGCCCGCTTTCCAACAGAAAATTCAACAGTATCAGCAATCGCAGCATGAGATGTCGAGTTCTCATTCTCAAAGCGTTCTACCATCCCAACAAAAACAGCAGCCAACGCACACCTCACACTTCACAAGCAATCAGTATCAGGAGAGCTATCCGCATACGCAAACGTATCAGCAACCGCTTCAGCAGCAACAGCATCCGGCCTCGACCACGTACCTGACATCGGCTAGCCAGAGCGTAATACCTCACTATACACAGCCTGCCCAGACCGCCCAGAATTATCAGTTGAATGGGAGTCAACAGGTGTGTCGTCAATTATTCAATTACGATTAGTTTCTTATAAGTAAACGAAGTACTGAAGGCCTATAGATAGAACGAATAGCATTATTTTTAATATTCAATTTATGATATACCTGTCTAGAATAGATTCCAATAGTTATAAATTAATGTTTCAAATATAAATTAAATGTTTTTTTGGTAACGAGAGTCATCTAATTTTATAATTTTATTATAATATTTGATATTAAAAATAAAAAAAGATTGAGACGACTATAAATTTCACAACAATTAATTTGTTTCGCGTAGGCAACGACATATCCTAGTTTGTCCATGGCCTCGCATACAAATGGAACGTACAGCACGGGTGCGACCAGCTACAACACCCAGCTGCCGCATCATAACTATACCGTGCCGCAGACGAATATTACGCAGACAACGTTGTCTTCGCTACCGCTGTATTCTACCACATCCTTTCATTCCACCCTTGGGGGACTCACGAGCGTACCTCAGTCCGTTCTTCCTTTTTCCACCGGTCAGAGCACTTTCGCTACCAGTGGATCGACATACTCCACTACTGTCGGGACCAACGCTTTCGGGACGTCGGGCGTAAGCTCAGGTCAGAATCGCATTAATGCACGTTATTGAAATATTTAGTCTCTCTCTTGTGTAATTTTTAACAGACTAAACAACGATTTAATTTTAATTTTTTTTTATTTTAGAAAATAAATCGTAACATTATTAAATTGAATTTGTTTATTCTTCAATAAAATATTTGTATAGATGATAAATTTTAGCGTTAATTGGCCATTCTGCTAATAACGCGTACCTGTGCAGGTACTAGTTCAGGAGGCCTGTTACAAGCAATAGGCGATCCTCTACAAGCGATGCAGCAACTCTCCGCCCAGTCACAGGCAAATCAGCTTCAGCAGCAGGCGATTATCCAACAGATCCAGCAGAGCTTGCGCGCCAGTTCGCCGACCGCGCCCGGTACCGCGACCGGCTACCATTTTCTGGGTCCTAGACAAATGCCGAAGATTCCTACGAGTATACTGACGAATCCCCTGGACCGACTAACCAACACTGAGGACATTGTACCCGAAGGTCAAGTAGACATGTTGGATGTACCCGGCAAGGGCAGATGTTATGTTTACATAGCTCGCTTTAGCTACGAGCCGTTCCAGCACTCGCCGAATGCAAATCCGGAAGCGGAATTACCGGTCCAGGGAGGCGATTATCTCCTGGTCTGGGGTCAGCCCGACGATGATGGCTTCCTAGACGCAGAGACGCTTGATGGTAGACGCGGTCTGGTGCCTGCCAATTTCGTACAAAAGTTGATCGGAGACGATCTGCTGGAATTTCATCAAGCTGTTCTTGGCCTCAGGGACGTAGACGATTCCGTCTCGACAAATATCCCTCAAGTGAGCAATCTGAAAACTAGCGAGGTACATAATGAGTCGGATATATTTATATTTGCATTTTACTTGCATTTTTCTCCATGATAAACAAGATTACCTGTTATTGATATATGAAAATAATAACACATATATATATATATATATATATTTGAAAATAATAAGTATTGTAAAAACTTTATTTAGAGAACATTAATGGAGAATAATAATAATTCTAATTTGATTTATTTTAGTGTTATCTGCAAGATATTGATTTAGAATTAGCCGCGTTAGAAGAAGGAAATCGGAATCGTCAAGCAGAACTATCCGCGTATGCGGAACTCGACAATATCGCGGAGGAGGATGAGCAGGAACCACCAGGTTAATATTCTATCAATTTGTTGTTGTGACATTCTGCAAAGTTGCATGGCGCATGTCCTTAATGCTGATTTATATGATTTATATGATGTTATCAAATTTATATTCGCAATCCAGTAATCCAGTAATATGTAGGTATATTTGGTACTTGAATCATCTTTGAAGAAATCGCTTTTAGCGATGTGTTTGAAACGTTTTTTTGACTGTACACGTTTCCAAAATAACACGATTCATAACTAAAAAATGACGACCCGTAATTAAAAAAAATTGTTTCTAGATAAAACTTTACTTCGACAATTTATTAATCCTACTTGACGTATCTGCAATAATATATATTCAATTCAATGTTGATTATCCAAGAAATAATGTCAAATTATCCTCGGCGTGTTCTTACAGTTTCTTTCCTTACCCTATTTATTGCACGTTGATCATTCCGAACAAAATATATACACGTAACGTCACACAATAAACGTCCACGCCTGAATCCTGTACCGATTTTCACGGAGTGAATAATCACAAAATAAAATGGGAAACACAGAAAACCAAAAACCATTGCACTGTGTTAAGTGTTGGCTGGATTTAGGCTGGCTTAGAGAGATAGACGATAGTGAGAGATCCTTAGCTACAGCTAGGCTTTGTCTTTGTCTTTTCCTCCTGAAGAAGTCTACATGTTTTCGGACCTAGTTCCGGCGCCGCAGCACCTTACGCTTGAGCGGCAGCTCAATAAGAGCGTGCTGATCGGATGGACTGCGCCAGACAATATGCATCAACTCGAGTCCTATCACGTCTACGTGGACGGCGTGCTGAAAGTCACGGTGAAGGCCACAGAGAGGACCAGAGCCTTGGTGGAAGGAGTCGATTCTACGCGGGTTCGTAATAAAATCCTTTATCTATTAGACTCCTCAAACAGAATTTATAAATACAATATGAGAGACAGTATTTTAATTAAAGTTATAATTATTAATTAATTTGATTTACATAGTTATTATAATATTGTAGAAAAGAAAATTATCTATATGTGATATAAAAGAGTTCTTTATAAAAAATTAATTGTATTAAATTTTTTAGATTAGCACGCAAAGTTAAAGTAAGAGAATAAAGGATTGATTTGTATAAAAATATCATTTTTTCATGTAACTCAATTTAATTATTTTAAAATTATTCTTCCGCTAATGTAGCCGCACAGGATAAGTGTGCGCTCGGTCACGCATTCGAGAAGAACGTCGCGCGATGCCGCTTGCACGATGGTGATCGGTAAGGACATTGCGTTGGGCCCAACTGCCGTCAAAGCATCAAATGTCACAGCGACTAGTGCTGTGATATCCTGGCTACCCAGTAACAGTAATCATCAGCACGTTGTATGCGTGAACAACGTGGAAGTGAGAACTGTGAAGCCGGGCGTCTACAGACACACCATCACCGGCTTGGCCCCGTCAACGATATACAGGGTGACCGTCAAGGCGAAGAATCTGCGGGCAACGCATTTTGAGGATCAAAATGCTCAGGCAGCAAACAACTTAGCCTGTCACGTCCATTTTAAAACATTGCCCAAAGGATTACCAGATCCTCCGGTCGATATCCAGGTTAATACAAATATAATCGTCTCGTATTTTAAATCTTATACTTTTAAAATGTTTTATAGTTACAATAAAAATTCAGAGAGCAATATTAAATTCCGGTGTTTTCCAGAAATGAAACAAATATTCGTAATGACCAGAATCGGATACTAGAGACTAAAGTTTCTAGAATTTCTGTCAATGATTCTTAAAAGTTTTCGTCGCATTCATGATACGTGCTGTTATCCAATTTTTAGGTGGAGGCTGGACCGCAGGACGGCACTTTGCTAGTGACCTGGCAGCCTGTTGCCCTAAACGGTTCGGCCGTCACCGGTTACGCGGTGTACGCCGATGGTAAGAAGGTCACCGACGTTGACAGCCCCACCGGAGATCACGCGCTCGTCGACATACACAAGCTCATGGGTCTCAATCCAAAGCACATCACCGTCAGGACTAAAAGCAGGGAAAGTCAATCGGGCGATAGTTGCGCAACAGCAATACCCTGCAGCGTGCTTCGGGGTGGTCCTGGCACTCACATGCCGCCACCCCATGGTGGACTTCCGCATATGGTGGATCAGCGGCAACCGCAACAGTCCACCATGGGTTCCCAGCAGGATGATCCCAATCGCCATCGCATAGGCAGCGGCGTAGCTCAGCGATACCCAAACGCACCGGTGCCCTCGCACATGCGACGGCACGTGAGCAACAGGGTAGACGCCCACGGTCAAGTTATCATCGAGACGGACGAGAATCTCTCCGACAAAGAGATTTATCCCGGACAGAGCATTCCTCAGATGGGTAAATATTTTGAAAAATAAAGAAGCAAGGGAATCTGAGTTTAATATGAATGACTTTGTACAACCTAAGCTCCTCTACGTGATTTATATTTTTATTTAATCGCGATTTTTAATTATCTCGTGTAGGAATTCCGGAAATTACAAAAGATTCTGCAAGCGAAGCAAATTATAGCGAGGAGGACGATCCCACGCGAAGATCGCGGGGAATGCCACCACAGCATCACGGTCCGCATCATCGGTATGGCGCACAAATGGATCCACAGGGCCCGCCTGGAGCACATAGGTCTCCTAGCATGGGTGGTCCCAGCAGTAGACCACAAGATCCTTATTATGACCAAACGGGTAGATATAATGGTCACTGTGTTGCTGTGATGGAATTCTTTGCATTCTTTCCATCACTTTCCAATTTAATAATACTTTTGTTTTTCTTCTAATTAATTATTTCGAAAAATTGTTTATGTTACAACTCTGAAGATAAACCCTGAATGATATATGTGGCACTCTTCTCTTCTTTCGGACTCTCTTCTCTCGCTGCAGTGTTTGGTGTAAAATAATCATGCTGTCTAATCGTCTATCAACTTTAAGTGTACAAAATGAATCCATGTCGTATATTATTATGTTCACTTTTTTAAATATTGTTCAGGATCTCAAAGAGGAAGGGGACTAATTTGTCGTGGCGGACGATTACCACAAGCTCAAGGTGGAGCAAGTCATCCATCGAATGTAGCTCAACAAATGAATAAAAGACAACGGTGGTTCGTGGCACTATTTGATTATGATCCTACGACTATGTCACCAAATCCAGATGCGTGCGAGGAGGAATTACCATTTTCCGAAGGCGATACTATCAAGGTTCTTATTTAATATCTCGATTTACTATCCTATCTCGTTCTTATTTAATATTTATGATTATTGAAATTATTTTAATTAAATTTAAATTAAAAACGTTCTCCGTAAAAAGATACATATTACATTTTTTATAAAACTTTAGATGAATTTGAAGTACATTTAATTTCACACTTAATTCACATTTATATTTATAAATTATACAAATGACATGATAGAAAAATCATATACGTTTTTATCCTATAGGTATACGGCGAAAAAGATGCTGATGGTTTTTACTGGGGCGAGTGTCGCGGTAGACGAGGATATGTTCCTTATAATATGGTGGAAGAACTTAAAGATCCACCAGGTCAAGGGCAGCCTGGTAGGCGGGGACCTGCACAGAGTGAGAGATGGGGAGACATTTATGCAAGCATGCCTGTGAAAAAGATGATAGCCCTCTATGATTATGATCCTCATGAATTATCTCCTAACGTTGATGCTGTAAGCTTTTTGTTTTATTTAGATATTCAATCGGAATCTTAAGAGAATCCACTATACATAATTAATTGCCATGTGTTTACATAATAACTTGTATAATAATTTGTATGTTTTTATTATTAATTGCCTTAATTTTGCAGCAAGTCGAATTAACGTTCCAAACCGGGAATGAGATATATGTCTACGGCGATATGGATGATGATGGATTTTACATGGGCGAGTTGAACGGTGTTCGCGGTTTAGTACCGAGTAATTTCCTCACTGAGGCACCCGGACAGAATCAGGGGCAACCGCCGCAGGGTAGCAGGCGACCCGGCGGCCAGAGCCAAGGACCGGGCGCGAGGGGGCCACCGCCACCTCCTCGCGAACCACCCCCGGCCGGTCACCGACGTGGCAAAGGTAAACACGCAATCAGATACCATTCATATTCATCACCCTCCTTATAGTACCAATTATCAGGGCATGAATAGCTCCTCAAGCCAAGACGACATCGGAATTAACTGTATGTTCTGCATGGAGAAGAAAGTTTGTTGTTCCAACATATTTTATTATTATAGCAAATCTGGTTATTATATAAACAGTAAAAAAATTTATTTTAAAGATACTAATTTTATTTGTTACATTTACTTGTATCTTGCTTCGCAGCACATTCATGTGCTCATAAATAAACTTAATGAGATTTTTCATTTTACCAAAAGAATAGACTTCGCTGTAATGTTGATTAATTATCAAATTAATAATTGTTTTTGATAATAAAAGTATTTTTTGCATCATGTATAGTAGCAACAATGGTTCCGCTGCATCAGCAAAATTCTTTTTCTCCATGTGTATATATTGATATTGTTTTGACGTACCCAATCATCGTGAATGTTTTGATGTAAAAACGCAGCATCCGCAGCGCAATGCAAGAAGCGCAAACTGCCAAATTGTTAAAAGCCAAAAATAGTTTATTTCCGCTAAGTTAGAAATTGCTATATGTATATAAAATTCAATCTCTTCGCGGATGTTGGAACTGGCTCGAGGGGTTGTTGACGTTTTCACACCGACGCGACGCATCATTTTATTGTCTTGGATGATTGAACGATCGGATCGAAAATGCATACGTATATTGTTCCTTATAAAATGCGAAATCGATGGCGATCGCGTCGGTATGCAAAAACGAAAATGCAAGCGTTAAGCAACACAAGACACGAAACCAGATGTGTGCCAGACGACAGGCAGAAGGGCCACACTGATATATTATTAGCATTGCGCAATTTGGCGAATTCGTATCGATATGCAATTCGAGCCGAATGAGCATGCGGCGTATAATTAGATTGAAATTTTTTTGGAGCAAACCGACACGCCCTACACGCACCTCTCGACGCGAGAGGACTCGTTGTGTCGCTTCACATGCATCACCGGTCAACACCGATTCTTCCAGCAATGTATATCGATATCACGCTCTCGTAGGCATTTAACAATGTCCTGTCATTTAATTGTTACCACGATCGTCAACGTTACAAGTATTACACCGATAGAGTTCTTCGCGCCACATGTATATAAAAAGAATTTGGTAAACGTCCGTGAAAACACGTGCTGTCATACACACGACGATAGATTATATATGCAATAAAACACCAAGCTGCTTTCAGTGTCTTCTATTATATAAGTATATATTTTATATATATATATAT